GTTGAGAAAAGTGAGTTGTGAGGGATTTTCAAGTTTCAAGATTGAAGCAGTTTCTGAAGAAATTGAGGATTCAAAAAGCTTCTCCAATCGTCACTGAAGCTTTCTGCACAGTTTGGATCAAGAATTCGTGCCTGAACACCTCACTGTTGAAGCTCTTTGACAGGTTCCTATCTTTCACGATTTCTCTTAAATTATGGTGAATTAGGTAGCAATATGCATGTGGTTAGGTTGTTGTTAGATCCTATATGATTTTAGGATTAATCTTGAGACTGTTTGAGAACTTTCTTGCTGATGCACCAAAACTTTGATGATTCAGTTAGGCCTTGTTCTTGGTTGAAATCAAGATTTGATTATGGATTTGTGATCAGTGTAATGTGTAGATTAGATTAGTGGAAAGAATTTAGAGTTTGGTGATGATTTTCATAATGGCATCTTTTCTGTTTGGCTTCGTATAGCCTTGATCTTTGAGAGAAAATAGAAATGAATGTTGCCAGGTTGATCTACATGGAGAGAGGAAGAGATTCATGTCATTTTTATTGAGTTTTATGAGATTTGATGCTCTGGTATTTTTTCCCTCGTCGGAGAAGACGACCGGAGTCTTCTCCGGCCACCGCAGCAGGTGTTCCCTCCGTTTCAGATTTAAAATGGAGAAGATGACTCAGATACCGTTAGATATTGCGGACTTCTTGACTTAGTATGTAGATCCAACGCGCAGGATTTAGTTTCATTTAAGCTGACTTTGACTCAGTGACATGGCACAACTTAGGAGCATAGGATCTGAATACTTTTGAATCAACGTGTGTGATTAAAACCTATGGTGGTCTTTGTTTGACCTGGCGCATGTGATTAATCTAATTTTCTTTTAATTGTGATTTAGACTGGGCCACGCTTGCTACGCGCACCCCCCCTGCTGGGCTCAACCTTGTTTTGAATTGATCGGCCTTGCTGTTTGCACCCCTGGCTTTTATTATTTCTTTTTTATTTCTTTTTTTTTTATTTTGTTTCAATTTAAATCATTAAAAATAATTCCAATGGTCCTAAAATCACACAAAATATTTTCTATGAACTTTGAGATGTCCTTTATTTTTGGGATATTTTTATTTTATTTTTTGATTTTATTTTCAATTAAAAAAAGGATTAAACATTGGAATTGTTTTAAATGGATTAAATTGTGACATGGTTTGTTCTTTTAATTGTTTCTTGCATTTCCTTTGGGTCCAATGAATGAAAATTGTTCCACATATCCATGATGAGTTGAACAATCTTTGAGGACCATTTTGCCCCTAGTTGGTTGACTTTAGGGTTGACTTTTGGTGCTTTTCTTTTGACCCTCGATTCTCCCATCTCAAAGTGGTACATCTAAATGAATTGTTTCTTTTGATGGTGCTTTGAGGGGATATTTGCTTTGAGCTTTTAGCCTCTGGTTGCCAACATGTTTAGCTACTTTTTGCATTTTACTTGATTATTTTTGAACCATTTTCCTATTTTTGAGGTAACTTGCAAGTCAAGTTACCTCCAAGGGAGGTTCACACATGTACCTTGACCTAGTTTGATTTGGATATGACATTTTTGGGTCCCTTGAACCCTTAATGCCTTTTGTTTCATGTTGCTAACATGTTAAGGATGATTTTGGTTCAATTTTAGGTCATGATAGTGTTTCTTCCTTGTTCATTTGTGTGTTTCTTTTTGAGCTTTTAACTTGAACTCCGATGTGATGCATGTTTGCTTCCTTTGTGCTCTTACTTGCATTTCTTCTTGTTTTGTTTTGATATTGATTATGAGCTTTCTTCTCTTCATCTCCCTTCTGTCCAATGATCTTGGAGTGTCATTTAAGGTGGCTTGGTCCCTCCCTTGGAGATATTTGAAACATACCTAGAATGATGAATCCTTGAGGACACTTTTGGTGTTTCTTGGCTTTTGATAAGTGATGCTTATGGTTGAGTACCTATTATGGGGTCCTTGCTGCCCATATTTGGTCTCCCATCCTCACTTGGCTTTGAGTTTTGTTTTACTTTTCATTTGGTTTGATTTTATTGGTGTGGTTGATGTTGTTTGACTTAGGTCATTTCATCCCACTTTTGAGGCATTTTTGTGTGGTTTGCTTTTGTTGGATTGATTTCTTCTTGTGCTCCTCTTCTTATTCTCTTTTCTTGCATTTCCATATGCATGCTTGGTTTAGATGAGCTTGTGGAAGCTACTGCCCCACACTATTTTCCTCCCACTTCCATTCTATTTGTGCATCTTATGTTTGCATTTTCATTTGCATATGCATTCTTCTTCTTCTTCTTTTGCTTTTCTTTGCCATGCTCCCCATAAATTCTCTAACCTCTTGAGGTTATGATAGACATTAGGTGCCTAACCATGCATGATAATATTAGGAAGTTCCCTTTTGAATCTCAACTTTAGGTCCACTTTGCATGATAACTTTCAGGATTGATTAGTCTCTCATTAGTGTTCCTTTTTCTCTTCTCATCTTCAAACACTCATAAAACACTTAATAAAGAATGACAAGTGTAGCACGCTACGAGCCTTAAGCTACTTGAGATATGGTAATTGAGGGGCCTCCTCTCAAGGACCTAGAGTGTTTAGTGTACACCCTTTGGGTGATATACGATGCATTCGCTCTTAGGTCATAGTCTCTAGTGCGACATGAGTTGCAAATCAAATTCAAAACACTTCTTCTCTAAAAAACACAAAAACATTTCAAACCTTTTTCATCCTTCGGGATCTTAATCAAGGAAATCTTTTCACAAAAAGAGTGTCGTTAACTCTTAGTTCCATCACAAACGGTAACACCTAAGTCTCCAATGGTCGAGCTGCATACACCAACTGCTAGAACTATTTGTTAACCCTACTCGGACTAAAAACTTTTGAACCAACTTGTGGTCCTTTTAGCCCGAACTACGTTCGCTTTGATCTTTCATACAATATGAAAGTACGTAGGCATAAGACACGATGTCTTAGCGAGCAACCTTCCCCCCTTCTTTGCCCGTAGTTAGTCGAACTACATTGACTCTGACTTTCCCATTGCACGAGGGAGTATGTAGGCACACAGCGGTGATGCTATGCCGAGTCACTTCTCTTTTCTTTTTCCTTTGTCCCTGAGCCTTTAGCTAGATCGTATCAACACACTCTTTTAGATAGACAACAATGTGTGGATCCCGTCGAGTACAACGGACGTGAGGGGTGCTAATACCTTCCCCTTGCGTAACCGACTCCCGAATCCAGACATGGTTGCGATGACCTTGTCTTTCCCTTTTTCTTTAGGTTTTTCCGATCGTTTCCTTCCCTCTCTTTGGGTTAAATAACGAAAGTGACGACTCTTCTATTTTTCCGCCGGTGGTTTTTCACATTTGCGACAATAATCTATCGTCACCTAAGCTCTCAAGTGCCCTTAATTATAAGTCGTTATAGCCATTTAATGCTTCTGACACGTGGCTCGAGAAGACGTCACATTTCTCCTTTCAAGTTCCATCACGTGTCCCGAGGAAACGACGTGTCTGCCCTTTCGAGTTTCATCACGTGGCTCGAGGAGACGACACATTTGTCTTTTCAGATCCCCTAAATCTAACGGACTCCCAGAGGACGGGCATACCCTCGGCGAGGTTTCTCTCTCCCTCGCGAGCACAACTTTGGGGATATGGTGGAGCAAACTCACAAGCAGTTTGGTATCTCCTGAGCAGAAAGTCGACGAAAACTTTTAACAGGCTCGTGCTATCGAGCACGAGGGGTAACGTCCATGCTCCCTCGCGAGCTCACAACCACAAACCTGAATAAACGCTCTCCTCGTGCATATTTCCTTTGTCCCTATTCGACATGAGAACTAAATCTAATTTATTACTCCTCTGCCTTGGAGCAACGACTTAGGAGGCTCCTATTCTGGATTGGACCTAGGGATGACCCACCGCCGGACACAGTCCAGTCCAGCTCCGCGTCGAAGAAGGTCTAACACAAAGGCCCAATCTGTGGGAGCCGTTGGAGAGCACATTCTCACGTGCTCCTCACCCGAGGACATGTGGCCGGTTGATCCCATGTATCTCGCGGAAACGTTCTGCCCTTAGTAACGGGCACGTCTTCCACTTCTCGGAGAATGCAGAGTAGTTGACACAGGATGATGAGCACGAGCTGCTCATCTCTACTTCCACGTAGGAATCCTGTCAGTCATCCATTAAGGGTTGGATCACCCAACCCATAATGGAGATCGTTGGCCCAGCACTGAGGGCTTTATAAATATCCTCTTTTAATAGAGGATCAGATATTCAATTCAATTCAACTTCTCACTTATGTACTTTCCTTTCTTCACTATGTACTTACTTTAGCATCAGAGTGCCTTATAGGTACACCCCCCTCATTTTCCTCACCTGAAATTGAAGACCACGGCGTGTTGTTGGTCACTGAAAATTCTTTTGATCCCCTAATCCCAATAAAATCAGTAAACATATCTAATAAATTAACTTCTATTTTAAAATGAGTGTCATTTAAAATTTTTACACGCAAATTAAAAAATACAATTATAATGTCAAAAAATATTATATTTTTTCTAAATTAATCTTACTAACATATTCGAAGTAATGTATAAAATAACAATGTCACATATTAAAATAATAACACTCATTTTAATATATATAAAAAAAAAGTAAAAATAACATTCATTTCAATATAAATTTTGTTTATTAAAACAGCCATCATTTTAAATACATTGGTTGATGTGGATATGTATTTCAATATAGTATATAAAACATAGAAAATGTGTGTGAGGGATGGGAGAAAATATTAGATCGATCCATGTTATTGGTGCCATAGAGAGGACCAACATAGAAGAGAGATGCAAGTGGGGTTTGTTCCCACCACCACACATGTCCTTAGTCCATACACACACCCCAAAACACCCGTGGGCTCTCCTTTGCCCCCACACACACTCTCTCTCTCTTTCTCTCTTCATAAATACCAACCGTCACACCTATCATCACTACCACCACCACTACTACCTCTCTCTGAAAATGGCCGTTACAACAAAACCATGCAAACCCTCTCAAAAAACAGTTCTTAAGCAAATCCTAAAAAGATGTTCAAGCTTAACCAAGAAAAACGGCTATGATCAAGATGAAGATGATATTCAAGATCTTCCACTTGATGTACCAAAAGGTCATTTCGCAGTTTATGTGGGAGAAAACAGAAGCAGATACATTGTACCAATCTCATTCCTAACTCACCCTCAGTTTCAATCTCTCCTTCGACAAGCCGAAGAAGAATTCGGCTTCGATCATCACACCGGTCTCACAATTCCTTGCCACGAACTTGTTTTTCGCTCCCTAACATCAATCATGCTCAGATCATAAACAATGACAAACCTTGTTTCATTACATTGCCTCTACTAGAAGAAAAGGTGATCAAAGATGAAGCTGCATCTAGCTTTTGCTTCTCTTTTTTTTTACATCTTTCTTCAATGTAGTAGTCTTTTAAATGCATGTTAGTATGTTCCTCGTTATGTTAGTATTCGAGATCGAATCTAAAATTTTTCCCTATATATTTGGGGTGATAGATCATTATTAATATTTTTGGTGAACAATGTGACTGTAATGTTTGTCACTAGGAGCATTTCTTGGAGGAAAATTTGTATAAAGTGTTTCAGATTTATTTTTCTCATAATTTGAAATCTGCAAGTTTTTAGCTATTTGCATCTCTCTGTAGTGTTTTTACACCCCACCTGCCATGTGAAATTAAGATTTTATGCTGAGACAGAAACTGGCAATGTAAGATTAATTTGTTAATAATTTATTCAATAATAGGATGCAAAAAATTGATTAAAATAAAGAGAGCAAAACATAACATGCATGACTTGTCTGACAAATGTGTTTGTACTTAAGTGTACGGACCATCTGGGAAATAGTATGCTTTTTAAATTGAAGAAAGAATATGCTACAAACATTGATCCTAAGAATGCTATATTAGGGAGGAGAAAAAAAATAATATTAATAGATCATAATTATTTTTAGTATCATTTTTCAAAGATCTAATTGTATTGGAAAAAGAAAAAGAATTCACTCCAAAAAATTTGGTTGCAAAATTTTAGTTTGTCATTTTACTATTTGGATGGTTTAAACGACATTATATTTGTTATTATATTTTGGTCTAAACAATATTGGACCAACACTTAACAGCGTGCTACAGGCAGCTTAAATCGAATGTTTGTTTCATGCATTTAAAGTTAGTCGTTAGATTGGGTTTGGGTTTAGTCGCCTAAATCTAACCACATTCACCCATTGATATAGTAGACGAGATACTTGACGTGCGTGAAATAGGTCATGAAATGGAGAATAATTGTTTCTCCCACGATTGCAAGGAGAACTCAGTCTCCTACTCACTTATTGGCCAAAAGAATGTGAAACCGCTCTTCAGGGCCTAAAATCCATGCCTAAGGGGTCTCTTATTTATACCCGTTTACATAATCAGAAAGAGATCACAATATTTCCTCAAAAATACACATATGAGCTCTCCACTACCATACATGAGCGAGATCTCTCCACACTCAAAAATCATAAAACCTTCAAACTGCCTTACAAAACTAAGAGTTGTATCTCATTGTACTTTTTTACAGGTACAATTGGCGTCCACCGTGGGAGTCTGGTAAAACTGACTTAGGTCACCCTATTATTCAACGATAAACTCACTTCCCTCCTCCTTAATCATCTCCAATACGATGAATAAGCGAGCAACATCGTTAGTTGGCAGTAGCTCTGGTGGCGACCATGATGCCATAGCAAAGATGTGCATCGCTATGGATGATTTGTGATACCACAACCAAAATTTGGAGTATAACGTCCTTAATTAACCTTTATCAACTCCACTAGTAGACATATCCCACCAAAGAGACATATATCTTGGACCTCCAACCTCTCTCTGATGAGATTTTAGGGCCCAGTATCGAAAAGTTTCAAGCTGCCTTCACACACAAAATTCGATAGAATAAGCAATCCCCAAGAGAATGACACAACTATTAACATACAGATGGCGATCATCAGAGCCTACGATTCTTTGAAGTGTAAACTCCTCTCTATGAACTTCAGGAATTTTACAATGAGGAGGTATATGAACCTACTACGGTTATCAATCACTAGCTATCAAGACTTGGTAAAGAAGTTGGCCCACCGATTATCAACGAGTAGACAATGGAAGATGTCAACCACCATCTTGTTCAATGTTCTCCAGGGCTCTTTAGAAACTTTAGGGGAATGACTCGCTCGGCTCAATGAGGCGACCATCAAGGTCATCCACCCCAACCAAAAGATGTTTGTAGAAGTCATCCCAAATGGATTGAGGGTCAAACATTTTAATAAACCCATCTCCCAAAAACCATTTGCTTCAATGGCGGTGATCATAATGCGCTCTGAATGTTACTTAAGGGAAAGGAGAGTGATGATGAAAAAAGACCAAGGACGCTAAGGAGCAGGCGTCTGTAAATCATGATTAGTCACAATAAGAAAATATAAACCATTACACATCGCATGTCAGGAACAAGGAAAAATTCAAGCGGAGCGAGAGGCATAAGGAGAAGTTTGCGCCCCTAAACACTAGGTGTGAACAATATGGTGCGAAGTCCTTCACACCCACGATATTCCTCTTCATTCGGCCCCCAAGTCTGACGTTATAGAACTCTAGCTCAACAGATAGTGTAAATATCACATGGTCAAAGGCCACCATAAAGATTATTATTACCAAGAAGGAGATTGAGCGCCTCATCCAGGAAGGTCACTTAAAATAGCATGTTCAAGGAGGTTCCCACCAGTCACTAGGTGGCTCTAGGTCTTAAGGGAAGGATCCCACGAGAAGCATCTGGTCCAAGAAGGAAAAAGAGCCAAGTAGAGGAAATAAAGATATGCATGTGCACATGCCTTTAACACTATAACATGAGGGTTTGTTGGGGATTGAGAAACTATTTTTGCTCTTAGGAGATATGCTTGCCAAGTCGTGATTGTAGAAGGTTCTCCCACGGTTCTTGATCTAGGCGTGAAGGAAACTATGGAGTTTAAGATTATCTTCTTAGGTAAGGATCTTGGCAGGATCCACCCTCATGGTAAAAATCCCATGGTCATAACTATAAAGTGTGATGAATGTGAAATTAAGCATCTGTTAATCGGACAAGAGAGTTTTGCATACATTTTCTATTGGAACGCTTATAAAAGGATCTGTATGGATCCAGGCGATCTTGGAGCTTTCCAATCTTTTATTTGGTAAATCTCCATCAATGTGTTTTGTTCATTTTAGATATTGAAAATTGTAGGAAAATTGCACATAAAACAAATTTAAAAAAAAATAAAGGAAACAAATCTTCATTAGGCACGAGATTTACTCAGCGCAGACCAATTTTTGAATAGGGTAGAATGTCTCACAATATGTGGAACAACTTGCTCCATATCTTACCTCTCGGTTTTAGCTCATAGAGACATAATGTATCAACATAATATCATGGCATCTTGCTTCATATGTTGTCTATTAAATTGACATCAATAAAATGTAATAACAACATTTTTGAAGTGTGTATTTGTGTGAATTCATCAAAACTGTGGTTTGGACATTGTCTTAGCATGAACTTGTATCTTTCTCATGCGTTACTGAGAAATTTTGTTGCGCCTTGGGAAAATAGTGTGATGTTTGTCTTAGCTTCAAAACATTTGTTATGAGAAAAGAATTTGTTTAATAGTTTTTCCTCCAACAAGTTCTAGTTTTTCTTTTTCTCGATACGCATTGATCTGGGTACCACTTCTTTACTTTGCCAATTAGAGAGTGTAAAAACAATTGCAGGAATACGACTTCTTGCTCATTTTCTAGAGCTTTTTACATACTAGAATTTTAGAAGAATTTGGTTAGGCATGTCTATTAGTCATCATGATCTAAACCTGCAAAAGGGTTATCATGAAAATTTTGCAATAAGCCTCTTTTATTTCTATTTGTCGGGCATTTCTTTCCGTTCTAGCGAGATGAGATAGACGTATGAGACTATTGTGACATGATGTGCCATAATTGTTATTTTTGTTGTTGGTGGTGATGTTCTCGACTTCATTCATGGTTCTTTGTTTTGAGACAAAAAAAAAACTCTTCTAGATCTAGATTTTAGCGCTTTCTTTCTGTTTCCTATTTTTACCGAGGTTACTATGTATGGTTCTTTCAATTTCGAAATCGAATAAAATTATTTGGCATGAACCTTACCTTGCATAAACTCGTAAAAAGATAACTAATTCTAGATGTTAATTTGTTAATGTTTATAAACAAAATATACAACTACAGACATATATAAACAATACTTAAAATAATAAAAACTATGATATATATATATATATATATATATATATATATATATATATATATATATATATATATATATATATATATATATATATATATATATATATATATATATATATATATATATATATATATATATATATATATATATATATATATATATATATATATATATATATATATATATATATATATATATATATATATATATATATATATATATATATATATATATATATATATATATATATATATATATATATATATATATATATATATATATATATATATGTGTGTGTGTGTGTGTGTGTGTGTGTAAAACTAGCACTAGTCCCTAGCAACAACATCATTTTGTTCGATGTGGAACAAAAGTAAGATTTACAATTAATGTATCCACGGAGACTGGTGGTCTCAAATACCTTTCAACTACTTTTTAAGATCTTAATTAAATAACGACTGTATATTTGTTGTGTACGTGAAAGTAAATGACATAAAGTAAAATGGAGATTTCAATGTTAATAGCAAGAAAATTTAATAAAGGGAAACTTCATGATTACATATTTATCATGCAGATCTATAGGTCAGTATATGCTTCTACACTAAGCTATTAATATTACCACTTGTTACTCTCATTTGTATCTCCTTTCGATCACAATGTCATGAGAATAGTGTATTACCTAATAGCCGATATATCAACCAACACAGAGCATTAAGTTTCAACAGTTAAAAAACAGCAAAACTCTACATTGATCCATACTACAACACATGTGAATATTGAACCTAAGATTATCTATATGTGCTAGTATTAAATAGATAATTGTCTTTGATCTAGTAATGACAAGCCCCTTTTGATGTCATGTCACACCATGAAAACAAGTTTTAGGTAGCAAAGCTAAAACACACATTCAGATTAAAGAGTCATCAATATTAAAGCATGAATAGAATTACATAGAACTTCATGACCTATTTAATACGTGAATATAATGACTACATCTAACCCCCAATAATGAGATTTCAGCTATGCTTTCTCATTGTAGCATAACTGGCGGTAACTCCACAAAGCTGGTATAGGAAGTTTATGTTCCCTGTCACTTGAGTAGCACTTCTGCCTTTAGGCTCCCTCTCTTATTCTCCTATTGTAGACCAATGTGAATCTACTCCAATTTTGTACTACCTCACTCCACCGAAACTCTCTTTGCAATTAACTAAAAACTCCTATTTATAGGAAAACTTCTGGACCGCTTGATAGGTGCAGCATTATTGCGCCTAGCATGCCTACCTTGTTCTGCCCTGCCTATTATCTTCCTTGGGAAGAAATGCTTACATGTCTACCATATGACCCTAGTCGCCTTTATTCATATAACGCATCGCCCCTTCGACTAATGTGCTAACCCTTGCTTCACTATAAATTACTTTCATGCCATATGTCTGTTGTCTTCACCTAGCACGCCTATGGTCGGGCCTCGCAGCCTTGTCTTCCATGGTCTTGCTCCAACTTGGTCTTTGCATGCTGAATCATGGTTTTCTAGTCCTTTTCACTTGTTTTTAATTAATGAATACTAGAAAAGTCTGAACATACATTTTCTTAATTTTCATAGATAAATTGAGAGTTTTTGCATTGATTTCTTGTAAAATAAGTTAATAATTGCCAATGTATTTCATGTAAATCTGGAACTTATCAGCGACTGAGCCCTTCAAAGTATTTCTTGTCCGCAATGCAACAGATGATATACTTTACACATCATATAACAATCACTTAAAAAGGTAACCCATGGATGACATATCCTTCTACTATAGATGGTAGGCTTGTGGGTCAAGCCTAACATATCCACATCTTCTGAGTTAGTCGTGCTCCAATTCATGTATCTATAGGTTGTTCCAAGAGGCCCCTTTGTGTACGCTCCTTCCACTATGGTTTACAGATATGTAGATGTGATGCGTGATGATTTCTATAATCATCTAGTACTAGATGAAGCATGAGTATGGCAACTCCTCCTAAATTGAGTAGGGCATTCGGATACATCAAATGGTATTTCAGAGTGTCACATCCTTACATGACACTAGATGATTAAAGAGATTCACCTATGCCAACTCATAAGGAGATATTAAAGTATGACTAGACTAGGAAATATCATGTCGTTAATGTGTTATCTGCATGCCATCATATAAAGGCCATTGGGCAAGGGGGTATAGAGATAAGATACTTTTAGGAAGGAACTTCTGCAATGGGCCAGTATAGATGTCGTTCTTTCTAAGGCGCGAACGAGATTACAGTATAGTAGAAAGATAAAGGAGAGGGGAGTCAGATATACCCAATAGTATTTTATAATATTTGTATTAAGAATTATGGACAATATTATGGCTTGTAATTTGTCATCTTCATACTATTATGGATTTTGAATTGATTCTAATATATTGCATTTTAATCTTATTACATCAGTGTTTGGTTTAATTGATAACAAATTTATTATGATAGTATACTTATTATAAATGGCCTATTACATCAGTGTATATATTTAAAAATGTCAAATTTTACTGCCTAAAAGGTTGTTGTGTGTGCAACAAAAATAAGTTTTACAATTATCGTATCCATAGAAACGGGTGGTTTTAAAGACAAAGTAGTATTGTTTTATTATTCTAAGTAAGAAAAGGGTGTTGTGTTTGTTGTGATGCACAAAAATAAATAATAGAAAATAAATGACAGAAAGTAAAGTATGAAATTTCGGTGTTAACAGTGATAATGGTTGTTGGAGGTAGATTACATCATTATGTATTTATCATGCACATCCATAAGTCAGTAGTATGCTCCTTTACACAACGTGTAATACTACCACATGTTACCATTATTTGTATCTTATTTCAGTTTCCATGCCGTGAGATCAGTGTAATACTCAATATAACGATATATGTTACTATTACAAAACACAAAACATTAAGTTCCAACAGTCGTAAAGTATAGAGACTTCACACCGATCCTGCTACAATATTTGTAAATAATGAACATATACTTATGTCTAGGCTTAGTACTTAATAGATTATTATCTTGGATCTAATAATGACAAGCATCTTTCGATGTCAAGTCACACCATAGAAATAGGTTATATGTTGCAAGGTTAAAACAATCATTAAGATTAAAGAGTTACCAATATTATAGCATGAGTAGATACACATAGAACACCATGACATATTTAGTAAATGAATATAATGACTACATCTAACTCCAACAATAGATATTTTAGCTACGCTTACACATGGTTAGCATAACAGTTTCCCTTTCCAAAGAAGGTGACTTCGGAAATGGGATATGCCTTGTCACCCAAGTAGCACTTTCGCCTTCATACTTCCTTTCTTATACTTCTTTTCTATACTAGAATGAACCTACTCCAATCATTTACTCCTCATATCCATCAAAACTCCCTTTGCATTGAACTTGAAACATCTATTTATAGGCAAAGTTATTAAGCTTTCGCTGGGCGCGTCGTCCGTGTGCCCATCGCGCCTATTTCGCTCTGACATTCTGACCAGTCTGCTTTCTTCTTCAGCAAGTTAAGTTTTCATGTCTTTCACATGTCATTGGTCGCATATGCTCTCATAGCACGCTACATCCTCGACTAGCAAGCTAACATTTTCTTCACCATGAAGTACATGCACCTAGTGCTGCCAAATAACCTTACTTTGCACCTAGTGCACTAACCCTTGCTTCACCACAATGTACTTGCACCTAATGTTGCCAACTGGCTCTACTTTGTGCCTAGCATGCATGTAGCTTGAGCCAAGCAAGCTTTGCCTCTTCAAGGTTCTGCCTTTTCTTGTTTTCTTTATGATGAGTCGTGGTTTTTCAAAAGGGTGGAAAAGTGGGTTGTGGCCCGCAAGGCCCGCCCGTGCACCCGCCAAAAAGTAGCGGATTGGGTTGAGATTTTAGGTCTGCCGCCCACCAAAGTCCGTCCTGCTAAAGACCGTTAAAATAAAACCTGCAGCCCACGAAAGCCCGCCGTACCTATTCGTTAGCTTGTCCCACCTTAAATCCATCTTTTTTTAGTTAATTCTAGTAATTCCAACTCCTGATAGTTTTATTTTGTACATTTATTTGAGAATATATGTAATATTTTTTGAAGTAAAATTTGTTTAAAAGATGTTTTATAAAAATTGTTTTAAAAAATATGTGAAAAATCTAATTAAAATATAAAAACAAGTCTATTAATCTATTAAAAAAAATGAAAAATAAATAAATAAAAAAGTTGGGGGGCAAGTCCGCCGCCTGCCAACCCGCCACCTTGGCGAGGCGAGCTAGATTTTTAGGCCCATTTTCACAAGTCCACCTCATCTTTTTTTAGCGGGTGGGGCGGGGCGGACGGTCCGTTTTGCCACCCCTAGTTTTCCAATTCTCTTCATCTGATTTTGATAAATGCATGCAAGAAAAGCTTAACAGATGTTTATTTACATTTTATAGATAAAACAGGAATTTTGTAATGATTGTTTGTGAAATCAATCAATAGGTGTCGACATTTTGAACGTAAACCTGACACTTATCAAGGGTGATTACGAAAGTATATTTCTGTAACTTTTACAGAGATGCATCTCGGCATTAAATTATGACAAAATGAGAGTATGACTCACTTATGATTAATTGATGTGGTGTATACGAAGTGCGTACGAAATAGTGAGATAATTTTAAATTTTTATATGATGACTCTTATCACTAAGGTGAGAAGAGCAAACTCTTTTTAATTTTAAGTCCTTTAAAATTATATAAATCTATAATCTCGTTTTAGAAAGCTAGTATCATGAATATTGAACAAGAATGCTTTTGTTTTTTCTTTAATGTTGATAAAGATTGGGTTATTCTATCTCTAGTTTTGCAAAATTGAATTATATTCTATTCAAATTTTAAAATAGTATCAAAGTCTATCAAAAATTTGTTGGAAATTTCGTCATCATTGTGTAGTGTTTAGGATTTTGTAAAACTGGGTTAGGGTAAATCCAAGTTCTAATACAAAGCCCTATGATAGTGACGTCATTTCTTGATTTTTAAATAGAACATCTTATAATCATTCATTCATAAATTGCATAGTATATATATTCCTGATACTAGCTTTCTTGATCTCCAAGCCAAACTGTTAATAAGTTGTAGCTAGCGGATCAGACAGAAGTAAAAGTAAGAGTAAGTGCAAAGCTATTGTTAAAAAGAAGAAAGGATGTGTTAAAAAAATCAATATGTAAATGCCAATCAAATTAATATTTTTGTTTTAACACTTTTATAAAATAAAAATAGCATGGGTTGAAACAGTTACCATGCCAATGATCAGCCTGATACAGAAGGACATATCTATGAAAGACATTTATCTTAAATAGTGAAAGTGGTGCAAAAGCAAATGATAAGTGCAAATACAAAACTGCAAATCAGGCTTAGTTTTATCAGCTGATAGGTACTAAACTGTTAGTATATGCTTAGGGAAAACGTACCTGTACATTATTATGCTAAGATGCATTGCTTTATCGAAATTTCATTACATTTGCAATATTCACATAACATACCTTTGATGAAATAATTCATGCTCAAATAAGGATATAGAACTTAAGGGATTTTGGCAAGCCCAAGCAGGTAGCATGAGCATAAGTTTTGCATTTGAAATAGGTTGAATTTTATCTTGGTCAACTTAACAACAAAAACCAGGCAAATAAACTGCAATTTTGTTGGAAGTAATTGACATTTTAATCAATCAAATGATGAGTAAACAACATATGAGAGAAGTGGATAAAAAGTTAGTCACATACTTTCTATACAAAAAGTTTTTGCTCATAATTTTGTACTATTTAGCATTTCTTCAAGGAAATATACTCTAGTTTACATTGTCACCTGAACCCAACTGCATCCAACATCTTTTCTTAACCCTCTTTGTTTGATCGATACCCTCAAACGTCCAATCTCATCCCACATACCAAACCGGGCATATAGGTTTGATAACATAACACATATTCCACCATTTTGAGGATCTAACTCAAGGGCCCTCTGTGCTGCCACTTTTGCCAGCTCTATATTCCCACTTTCCGCGCAAGCACTCAGTAGAGCTCCCCACATTGAGACGCTACAATTCCCTATATCCTTATAGTGTGTCTCATTAAGTAATTCCCATGCCTTGTGTAACTCTCCAGCCCTACAAAGCAAATCAACCAGACAACTGTAATGCTCTGGACCGGGATTCAACTTAAAATCATTAGTCATAGATTCAAAATACTTGACACCAGAATGTACTTGGCCAGTGTGACCACAAGCTGAAATTACTGTCAGAAATGCTATCCCATCAGGTTTGATTCCTTCCTGCAACATTTCACTGAACAAATCAATTACTTCCTTATAACGCCCACTTTTACCATACACGCCAAGCATCGAAGTCCATAACACAACGTCTCTACTTCTTTCGTTTCTAATCTCCATTCCATCCAACTTGAAAACCAGCCGAGCCTTCTCTACCATTCCACATTTTCCATACATCTCAACCAACGCACTCTGCAGAAACACATCGCTCTCTATATCAGGCATAGTACGGAGCAAATAACTATGCAGCTGCCTACCCATTTCAACAGATGATAGTCCAGTGCAAGCACGTAAAGCCGCTGATAACGTAAAGTGATCATACTTCAATTTCAACACAGGCATTTTCCTAACCAATTCAACTCCCTTAACCCATAACCCAGCCTCACAATAACCAGACAAAAGTGCATTAGCACAGACAGTATTCTTCTCAGGAATTTCATCAAACACAAGAGCTGCATCTTCAACATTCAACGATTTAGAGTAAAAATCAATAAGAGCACTACCCACAAACACACTAGAAAACCAACCTGATTTTCCCACGTGGGCATGTATCTGTTTCCCAAAATTAAAGTCTTTGAGTTTAGATGAAGCGGTCAAAGTGCTACACAAAGCGTAAGTATCTAAGGAAACCCCATTGGTGTGCATGAAGGAGAAGGAAGTAAGAGCAAGAAAGGGGAAACCTTTACGAGAAAAATGAGAAATGATGAGATTGAAATGTAATGGGTTGGTTGAGTTGATGCATTTGAAGAAAGTGTTTGTTAGTGTTTGAAGATTGTTGTTGGGAAGGAATGAGGTGTAAGTGGCAATGAGTTGGGTGTGAAGATCATGAAGAACGAAGAGATTGCCATTAGTGAGAAGGTGACCATGGAGTTTCTTGATGGATGAGAGGTTTTTAGTTACTTGACATTGGTGTAAAAATTGAATGTACTTGGACATGTGAAAATAAGGTGGATGATAGGTGACCAATTTGGATGTGAAAATAAGGTGGATGATAGGTGACCAATTTGGTGCTTATTTGACAAGAGCATGGAAAGAGTGTATTACAACTCAAATCATTAATTTACTTTAGTCTTAATGTTGGTCAAATATCACTATGATTTAGTTTAAGAATTTGGTTGATTATAGTGTGGTCAAGAATGATGATTTCATCAAATAATTCCAATGATCAAAGTGTTTGATAGGCCAAATTCTTTGACTAATTCATAGGAATTATATTTGGCAAATATTGTAGAGTTTAAAATTTTCTTTATACGTGTTAAAATTGATAAGCGTTAAATATGTAATTCTTTGTGTTAAGTTTTATAGGATTTGATGGGTGTCGAATGATATTTTAGTTTGTATTGAAATAGTGTGTGATTGAAATAGGGTTTGTATTAATTATATTTGATAGAAAGTCAAATACAACTTGTCGAAACAAGTAGTTGTCGAAGGAGTTAATCTCGACAGAGTCGAAGAAGACGGACATAACTTAGTTTTAGTTGAGTTAGTTATTTTGTGATCACTTGGAGTGTAAGTAATCTCATTTATAAATATAAAGGAACTCTATTTCATTTGTAATAAGTGTTTGTAATAGCATTGTATAGTTTTTAGAAATCACAGTTATGATTAACACACATTGTAACAAACACTTAGAGTGTAGTTTGCACAACAATACAGTCTTCTTTTTCTTCCTATAAAATTTATTTTTTCTCTCATTTCAGTTGTCTCATTTTCTTCTTTCAATTCTCTGTATAATGTATCATCTTGCAACTAAGGAGTGGTTGTTTCACCTGAGTAAATGGTGAAGAACAAGAGTCGTGATCAATCAGAAAGATTAATTCTTCTTCATCAAGATTGATTTAGTTAACTTCAAGATTGGAGTTTTTCCAACAATAAGATGTTATTCAAAAGTTTGTTAGAATTATTAAGGTAGTTAGTAATAGAAAGTTAACTTGAAAAATATGTTGTATTCATATTGTTTTTGACATGACATACCCTTATATATAGGTTGATGATCTATCTTTCAGAGCTTGAAAATAGGATCAACCCTAACAAACCCTAACAAATTAATAACATTCTTAACAAACCCTAGCAAACTAATAACATTCCTAACAAACCCTAACAAACTAATAATAAACCATTAAATTTATCTCTAATACTCCCCCTCAGGTTGGAGGATGGGGATTATGAACACCCAATTTGAACATTAGGTCTTGAAAACTTTCACGTCTAAGGACTTAATAAAAATGTCAGCATTTTGTTGTTTTGTGGGTAGGTAAGTTATGCTTATGGTACCTGATTGTATGTGTTTCCTAATAAAATGACAGTCAATTTCAATGTGTTTTGTTCTTTCATGGAAGACTGAGTTTACAACTAAATGAAAAGCTGCTTGATTGTCACAATGCAGAAGTGTGGTTTTGATGCATGGAACTTGCAGAGTCTCTAACAAATTACATAGCCATAGTATTTCACTTGTGAAATGTGTTATTGCACGATATTCAGCCTCACTTAAGGATCGAGAAACTATGGCTTATTCTTTATTTTCCATGATATTGGAGCATTGCCAATTTTCATTAGATAACCTAAGATGAACTTTTTGGTAATAGGACACAATGCCCAATCTAAATCACAGTAGCCAACTAGTTATAGATCATTATATTGTGGAAGAATGATACCTTGACCAGGAGAAGATTTAAGATATCGTAAGGCTCACATAGTTGCATCCCAATGGTCTTTGAGTAGAGTTTGCATGAATTAACTTAAAATATGAACTGAGTAGGTTAATTCATGCCTAGTGATAGTTAAGTAAATCAGGCGTCCAACTAATCTCTTATACCTTGACGCTTCTAAGAGTGGAGGTCCTTTTACCAAAGCAAGTTTATGATTTTGTTCCATTAGAAACAAAGAAAGCTTACAACAAAGCATTTCACATTCTTGTAGAGTGTCTAAAGTGTATTTTATTTGACAAAGAAGTATCCCTTCTGAACCTCATACTAGTTTCATGCCTAGGAAGTATTTAAGCGAACCAAGATCCTTCATGTGGAAACGTTGACTTAGATATTGCTTGAGCTGATCACATGCCTTAAGGTCATTACTAGCAATGGTCAAGTCTTCAACATACATCAAAGCAACAAGAAAATTCAATCCATGTGAATAAGTAAATAGACTATGATCAGACTGGTTGTCTTGGAAGCCATATTTTATCAAAGATTGAGATAACTTGCTATACCAATTTCTAGATGTTTGTTTCGAGCTATGCAATTACTTCTTTAATCTGCATACCAAATATTTGTTTGGAACTTTATATCCTTGTGTAGGACTCATATATACTTCTTCTTTCAATTCTTCATGCAAGATGGCATTGTTAACATCCACTTGATGTAATTTCCATCCTTTCGCTACTACAATTGGTAACAAACATCCCATTGTGGTCATTTTGGTCACTGGTGCAAAAGTTTCATTGAAGTCCTCACCTTCCATTTGTGTGTAACCTTTAGCAACTAATTTGGACTTGTACTTTTCAATCTCACATGTAACTTTATGTTTGATTTTGTCCACTCATCTACGTCCTATCAATTTTCTTCCTTGTGATAAATGAGTTAGTTTCGATGTCTCATTGTCTTCTAGAGCCTTAATTTGCTTGAGCCATGGCCTCCCTCCAAACTGTGTGCTTGACTGCTCGATATATGATTGAGGTTCTTTGCCATTAGTGATGGTTGCAAGGTAGGCTCTATGCTTTTGTGAAAACTTATCATATTTTAAAATTTTTGATATGGGATATGTGATAAGTGAAGAGGACTCTAGAATTGATGCCATGAATTTGAGTTTATGTTTAATTTGTCATAATCATAGTCTTTTAGATAATTTGAAGATCGTCTTATGCGTGGCATATTCTGAAGCTCACTCTCATTTGAGACTTCTCCTTCACTTTCACTTGATGATTCTTTTTTAGAATCATTGTTGACTTCCTCATTCACGTCATCTATGGATATATTTTCTTGCTCTATAGGTTCACTTTCAGCTTGACTTATGTATTCAAGCTCCTTAATGGGTAAACTTTGTATAGGACCTGATGTTTGGTCATTATGAGAAATTTCCCCAAGACTTGGTACTTCTAATTTTGCATCATTATAGAGTGAAGACTCATCATTGAGGTTATAACTTGATGACTTATTTCTAAAATTAGTAGACTCGGTATTGTCTTGCACATGGTAAGGAAAGGTATGCTCATAAAATACTACATTTCTCGATATGCAACATTCACGAGTCTTTGAATTTTAACCTTTCCATCCTTTTTTCTTTATAGATAACTAATAAAAATACACCTTTCAACTCTGGGATCAAATTTACTGATTCCCTTTGAGTCATTTTTCTTGTAGCACAAGCAACCAAAAGTTCACAAGTGCTCATAGTTTAGTGTTCTCTTAAAAAGTAACTTGTATGGAGTGATTCCCTTATTTGTCACTGTAGGGACTCTATTGATTAGATACGTTATTATCAACACACAATATCCCCAAAACTGCAATGGGTTTCGCACGTACATTCTCTTGATTAGAAACGCAAAGCTCGTGCTATGTTCAAAATTTGTCTATACTTGGGTTCTGCACGTACATTCTATTGAGGTGTGACAACATAAGAAGTTTCATGCATGATCCCTTCTTTCTGAGTGAGGAACTTGAAATTAGAGTTAGTAAACTATGTCTCATTGTCACTCCTAATTCTCTTGATATGCATATTAAATTTCCTTTTGATTAGATTGCTAAAACTAATCATATGTTGTAAAGTTTATGTCTTGTGTTTCATTAAATATACCCATGTGCCACGAGTGTAGTCATCTACAATGGTTAGAAAATAATGTGATCCATTGTTTGTGGTAGTATGATATGTTCCCCATAAGTCACAATGAATCAATTCAAAAGGTGTTTCATCTTTATTAATACTTAAAAGGAAAGGGTTTCTACATTGTTTTTCCTTGTAGCATACATCACAACAATTTGCTCTGTCAAAATTGCATTTGACTAAATCTGAAATGTGCTTAAGGACTTGAAACCTTGAATAATAACCGTGAATTGATTCATAAGGTTGTCATGTCCTTCTTAGTTGCACCCATGAAACCTTGTTGATGTTACTTTGTGAACACATAAACCCCTTCATGAAGGTCACCTGATCCAATCTCCCTCTTTGAGGCTTGGTCATGTATTGTGCAATAATTTTGGTCATAAATCACATAAAAGTTTAAATCATATATTAGTTTATTAATTGAAATCATATTGCATTTAAAGTCAGAAACCAATTACACATCTTTTAACGTAAGGGAACTTGATAAATTCACATTTTCCATATTTTCAACTAAGGTTGAAATCCCTGTTGGTGTAGTTATGTAGAAAGGTTTATCTAATTTTCTGATTTTCTTCAATATTGAGGTCAAAGGAGTCATGTGATGTGAAGCGTCATTATCAAGTATCCAATTGAAACAATATTCAAATTTACCATTCATGTTTTTACGTGCTTTTGCATGATTTTTGGCACGAATCCTATGCACGGCGTGTCTTGATACTAATGTTTCTAGATACTCTTTTCTCTCAGCGGCTTGAGCAAAACTTTCTACTTGTTATCATCCTGATTTGTTAGGATCTCTCCTTTGAGTTCTTCTTAATTCCCAACTTACTGGATATCCAACAATCTCAAAGCATTTTGCCTTGACATGTCCAGTTTTCCCACAATGGTCACACTTTAATCTTGAGGGAAATTCTTTTCTTCTTTTCCCATCTTCACTTGAGTAAAACACAGTTGCATTTTCCACCTTAGAATCTATTTCCTTATCTGCTACAAAACGAGAATCTTCTCTTTGCATTTGATTACAAACACGCCTAAGAGAGGGTAATGGATCAGTATTAAGTATGATTTCCTTAATATGAAAGTATTGTTCACTATTAAAGCTTCTAAGAAAAAAGTGA